AGCACAATTTACTATGCGGATGGAAGGTCCGATTTGTCAGAGCTATCAACCGACGTAATTTGTCCACGTTGATTCGCACGTGATCGCGGCTGACCAAGTAATAGCAATTCGCAGGATCCTGAATGGGTTCTCCGGGGCTTTGATCTTCGTCGGCGTCCATCGGCATTTACAATTTGGCGTACAAAAGAGCGTCCGACGGCGGAGTACTCGCTCGTCCGTAGTTTGTGGGCGATATTGTGCCGCCGTGATTAATACGTTCATAACTTGCAAATTGCGAGCGGATTACGCAAGTGTAGTTTCCAGCGACGATACGCGATCACGATGCGAGCGTATGTAAACTCGTGCATCCCTGATACGGCTCGTGAATCTGGCGGGTTTAGGCATAATTACGCGTAACGTAACGCAGTTACGGAACTATTTATCAACTGCAAATTAGACGATTAAATTTTGCGCGACGTGATTATGCACGATGTGAAGCGGTGGCGATGTTATCGTGAGAAACAAGAGATCCCTAGTGCGTATCGATTGTTTTCCGGTGCAATGCGTTATATAATGTGTACTGGTAAACAGATATTTGATATTAATAATGCTAAATATGAATAATTCTATATTAATTAATATTAATATTTGATTCAATTGCACTCGTACAATCAAAGGTTGCCTACAGTTATTAAATATTTATTTTTCATTTATAGTACGTAAGAAAGGAAATATATTATTTATTTCCAGCTTTTATTTTTTGTATTTAAATATAATTATTTGTAAGCAAATGAAAGAAAGTTAGGTATTAAAGGATAAATTGGAATTTCTATCGTATATTCGTTTAAACACGATTTATATAATATGTACACGTGTACAGTGCAATTTTATATTTATATATTTTGTTATTTTCCGTTCAGTAAATATTAGCAAAGTTTGTTCGACGAAGAATTTGTGTCAAACCAGTCGCGCATTTTAAACAGCGCGAAATGTTTATCAAGTTGATTTTTCCTTTTTCTGACGAGCTCGCTCGCTCGATCTAGCTTGACGTAACATTTATAGCAATATCGCGCATCTTCGTCGAGTCAACAATTGACGTAATGTATCGTTCGGTTTACCTGCGAAAGCCGGTAACGCTTCTGTCAGCAGGTGATTGCAATGTTTACGAGCTTCCGCAAGTGGAAAAACGCGGAAATACTTTGTCAGGAAAATTGCGTTTTATTTTATTGTAGAAGATGAATATTTCACGATGGAAAAACATCGTTGACACAAAAAATGCATATTTAGTTTTTTCAAGCGCTTATTTTCTTTTCTCAATTTTTCTTAATAAAAATGATGTTTTTCAAAGATCGTGCACGATAGTTTTACAAAACAGTTACATAGCATTCTTGAAAGCTATTAAATTAATTATTTACTATGAATTATCTATGTAAAGTATGTCATTTATTATTTTAGCAGACAAGATATTATCACATTGTTTACATATTTGCTGTGGAAGACCTCGTTACAATTTTAATACGTTAAAAACTGTCAAAGTGAATTATAACGCAAAGTGAATTACAGAGCGGGAAGGAACTACGCTGCAACTATCCATTTTTATAATTCGTACTCTTAAGAATATTAAATCTACATGCTCGAATAGTCAATCGTTCCCTTGGAAATAAGAATCGCGTGACAAATCCACCGTGTAATCGCGGATTTTAAAAGCTCGTGCGTGGCAGCAGTTTATTATTTGGCCTTCCAGGTAATTGTTTTGCCATTCGGAAGGAAAGTTAGCTTCTTGCGTAAAGAAAATGGATTAAATACAATTGATACACAATTATTGCGTATATCTTGAAACGAAATTGTTCGATACAATCGAGCGGAAACGTAATAATTTTCCTTTTTCTTCCGGTACTTTGAGTAGCTTCAGCTGTTCACGTGCCGGGATATCGATGCGTCAGATCAGGCGAAAGCGCAGAAACGTGCTTCGCGACGGTTTACGTTTAGGTGAACGAACTCGAAGTAAACCTTACCGCCCGGATGATTTGCGCGACTAGAAAAGCGACAGCGTACTAGCCGTCGTGGCTGTCGCATGTAACACGTGATATACATGTATAAACACAACGACATGTTGATAAATGCGTGCAGTCGATTATCTTCTTTTTCTTCATTTTTTCAACCCTTAAGCGCTGCATAATTTTGCTTAAATGGCTGATTATGTAGCTACTTATATTACAGTTTTTTAACTTATAATTAGCAATTGACGTAAATATATCAAAGTCCAAATCGCTTTAAGACTCATGATTATGTCTATATGCAGTTGTTAATTTTTTATAATTAGTGCTTAATGTATGTTGCAGTTTAGACCGTGCTTTAAAGTGGAACTGATTGCGCGCATGTTAAGAAAATCAGTGACCTCGTAAAGTATGAAAATTCTGGAACGCGAACTTTGGTTAGTGATAATGTATATCATTGGCCAATGTGAGTCGCGATTATGGAGATAAAAGTCCAAATTTAGTTCATTCAAAATAAATCGTTTACGGTTTACTAAGTTATCTCGAGAAACGGAAATGTACAGTAATCCACGCATTTTCATTTTTTCACATTAATAGCGCAATGGTTTCGTAACTATGGAAATTGCAGCGCGTTGGAGCGTGGAATATGAATTCACATCCGTTACACAATTAGCAAATCATCGTAGCGATGAACTCGAGATTTCTCGACTCAAGTGATGAGTTCATCCTCATTAGGTGATTATGTTGCGTAGTTTACAAATATCGACTTTTTATCGCACCACTTCACATGTGCGGGTTGTAATGAAATGTGCATTATTAACGATATGAAGTAATTTTTCATTCACGTAAAAGAGTCAAATATTTAAAATGTAACCAGCGATACATTTGAAATATAAAATAACAGCTAAATGAAAAATTCAAAATATAACCAACGATCCTTTTGCTATGTACTATAACAAATTTTTCATTTATAAATAATAATAATAATATTTCCTTGCGTAAATAAATTTTCCCGAAGTTATAATTAAAAATTTCATGTTATTTAATCATTATTTAGTTTTGTAAATACAGAAATATGATTTTACTTTTTTTTTCATATTTTTTTATCTTCCGATTTATTAAAATAAATACTTTCTACAATTTTTCTCAAGATGGTAACTTTATAGTATGTATTATAACTTCCTATGAATTATCGCTGTGGAAGTAAAATTGCAAGCAGTAAGATTTGTAGTTCTTAATAGAGGAAATTTGCCATTGAAATGTAAATGCGTTTTACGATCTTATCATATAATACATAATTGAATTTTACTTCGTTTAAATTGCAATTAAAGCGGAATATTGATAGCACGCGTAGTTTGCAAAAGAAAATTTCTCTTTGAGAATCTGTTTCGCTCGGGTAGGTTCGCCATTGAATGATCGGCATTTTCTTACTCGACTGTTAGCTACATCGATCAATGTTAATATTATAATGAGCATCTTGCATTATACAAACTTAATGACTATGAAGTTATATGACGATCAACTTGTAAATTACGAAGTACGGTTCTTTTCAAGTTTGCGAAACATACGCACATTACTAAGAAAACTCTCTGAACTTTTCGTAATATCGACTTGATTATTTTTGCAATAAAAATATCTGATTTTATTGTAATATGCTTTAATAAACTAAATTTTGATTTTATAAAGCATAAAATGCATAAAAAATGATAGTCAATTTACATTTGTTTGATTTCGCAACGAGACTGGTTCAGACGAATTGTCACGCGTCATTTACTGCCGTTAATTCGTTATGCATGCTGAGCATTTTTGTTAGCATACAATGCAAAGAACGAAACTGTCTCGCCAGAATGGCGACAACTCGTACAGCAATCATTTCAAAGCAAATCTTGTCAACTTTATTTGTAAATTATATTGCTTACGTAAAAGACACGAGACGCTACGTTGTTGCAAATGTGACTTGGATAGCGTTTTATGTTTTTACTTGTCAATGCTTTGCGATAAAAATCATGAATCATACTGCACAATGAGCTATATATATGAAGAAAACATATAAGTAGAAAACATTAAAATATGATCGTATTTAGAAAAAAAAATGTGATACTAATTGTACGTTGTAGAAATATGCGATTTGTTCTACAAATGTAATGATTTCTTACACGTAATAATTATTTCCAGAATGGTAACATTTTGTTATCTTCACATAGTTGAAATATTGGAATTTTTTTTGATAATTCTATTTGCACGTAAAATACTCGTTAAAATTTCATCGCAGAAAATAAAAGTAAATAAAGAAAAGCTATCGACAGCTATTAATGTTACATATTTCTCTAGTAATTTAATCTGCTTGCAAGAATCGATGATGTATAAAATGAAAACTGACACTTGTCAAATAAGTTCGAAAGATTGTACATAATTTGACGGTGTATTATTTACGAAGTATTATGAAAAAAGTATGAGAGATTCTCCTTCAACTTGACCCTTCTCTTAGGGTTACTGTAATCGATATTGGTGGCCAGTAACGCTATTTTTAAAGATCTATAGTGTGTCATCGCGTGTATCGTTCAACGACACTCACTCTCTACATATTGTAAAGTGCTTCACTATGTGTGTTAAATTTTACGAAAAAGCACATTTTACTTTAGATAAAGATATTTACAATAAAGTTTAATAAAAAGTTGTAAATTTGAATTAAAATTTAAATTAAAAAATTGCCAAATAAGTACATCTCGTAAAAAATTTTTATTAAAAAGATATAAATTTTAAAATTTATCAAAGGTTTTTTTACTAAAAATGACAAGAAGCTTTTGTTTGGTATTGAAGAATTATTAATTGCTGATAGCTTTTGTTTCTTTTTTTCATTTTTTGCGATGAAATTTTGACAAATTTTTTGCGCACAAAAAATATTATCCAAAAAGTGCTCACAGCGTTAGTTACTCGTGTTCGAAAAACTCGTGTAGAAATACAATCGAGCTGGTGACCTGCACAGCATGGAATAACCGATTTTTTTTCTCTTTATTTGCGTAGAGTCATGGGTGGAGCTGGTGCCGGATCCGCCGCTGGCCGCTCGCGTAACACCGACACCGTTTAGCGTTAGCGGCGAACGTGAATATCTGCGACTTCTCAGAGAAGCGCAGAGAGATTCCACACACTCATCCGCCAGGCATTCCTTGGCATCCTCGCGTCGCGACACTCCAAGAGACAGGTAAGAACAACCCTCTTATTCTCTCACTCGATCTCCCGACCCATTAACGAGTAAGTGCTGTTCCGTATTTTAAAAGCACTCTCTCAAGCAAAGATCGCTCTGATTTTAAAGGGGATTTCTAGTTTAAACGATCAAAAGGTAAGGGATTTCTAGGAATTTTTTTTTAAGAAAATGGAAAAAGATATCAAAGTGCGACTTTTTGCATTAAATACGTTGTAGTTTGCTTTAATAAAAAATATTTTTTAATTAATTTTTATTTAAAAAATGTGCACGTTGTCCAGAAGATGGAACAATCGGTGGGCATGATAGCATCATATTTTTATCTTTTACACTAAAATGAAAAAAAAACAGTCTGATGGATTTCGTGATATTAAGAAAAAAAAGTATAATCGAGCGATTTGAAAGACGCTTTGACACAATTCGCGAATTCTTATATTCGGGGTGGTCTGAAGACTCGACCGACAAAGTTGGCCATTCACCCCGATGCGTATATACACTTGAGTCTTCGGCGCGGCGTCAGTCTATCTTCAATGATGAAAAAAGTAGTCTGGCCCCCTTCCCTTTATTCCTTGGCAAGGGTTTCATAGTAAGAAAATAAGCATCATATGAGTCAGAGCCGAGACGCGGCGGTTCGTGTACACAGAGAACTCTTTTTCTGATACGCACACACACATCGTAACGCTTGAAGGTCGCACAGATAAAGGCGGAAAAAGGCGGATGACCTACTGGCTATATCACTGTGCTTTGGCGAACCGCGAATATCGAAATAGGAATTGACTTTAAAGCGGAAGTTGTTTGTCGTTGATACGAATGAATATGCGCGCAATCAGAGACAAAATGTACCAAAAATACGTTGACTGTAAAAAAATTTACAATAATATAAATGTTTATATATGTATATTTACAATTTTTATTTTTATTTGCTAAAATTATTATTTAGATTATAAATTTATTTATATTTTTGTCTTTTTTAAAGAGACAGTTTCACGTTTTTATATTTATATTTTTCTCCAAAAATCATTATTTCGTATATTTTGTAGCGTGAATTAATCAGTTGAAGTATTCGATCAGAATTTAATTTAATTTTTATCTACCAGCTTGAAATTATCGCTGATTTGATTATCTTGATTGATGTCTATATCTTCTAATCGGTGTTAGATGACGCATTAAATTGAATCTCCGCCACAATGTTGTGTCGCAGCAAATAAAAATAAAGACGACGTATGTAAAGAATGTAAACCTATAGTTACTTCGAAATAAACGTCTTATATTTTCTCTTTCCTTTGTACTGAATGAATTAGCACGTGGCACTTTTAACACGGATAAAATAGCATTACTGGCAGACTTGAAAAATCTCTTGACAGAAGAACAATGCGCCTTTGTGTGATCTGCAGACAAGAGACGTATTTCTATCTCTCGCAGAATGTCTCTGACCTACCGAAATTCTCAACATATTTTCTCCGATGCGAGGAGATTCGATTTTTAGCGCGGAAAATTCGCGCAAATTGTTGCATCGAAAACACACGCGCGCTGTCCAAGCGTGTACAGTGAAGCGACGTCGATCCGGACGTCAATATGTGTACGGTTGCATTCTCCGTAAAATGTTATCTCGAGCGTGAAAATCGCGGCAATCCTGTTATTGACAATATCTGCACAACAACGTTGGAATATTCATTCAAATTTCGGGACACAATGTGGCCGACATTGTGCAGTATTGAACACCACGGCAAATTGTTTAACACACTTTAATGCACCTGTGTACGCCGCGGCTTACACCCTCATCACTCGCTACTGATTTCTTTATGAGGGAGGAATTTCTGAAAAGGAAATTAGCGACCTGGTTAACAGCTTTAGCAAATATCATACTGATATTAAATTAACACGATGGAATAAATTTTGGTATTCATCGTTAAATCTCTCAATCTTGGATAAAATTGTTTTTGCAATTTTGTTTTTGCAATTTGTGATCATGAAATGATCTAATATATTTTTAATTAAAAAAATAAAAAATGAAAGAAGAATAAAAAATTGTTTTTTTTTTGGTTGATATTTAAAATTAATGGAACATAATTTTATTCAGTTTTAAATTACAAAGATTTACGATTTTTTAAATATATTGTTTAATATCGAGTTTTTTAAAACTGACTGCCGATAATTTAAACTTGTTCCAACAGGAATATCTTTATTAAAGGTTTTTAATTAACTTTTAAAATTTACTTTACTGTTATGAAACATTGTTGAAAAATGATGCATATAAACAATTTTATAGTTTTATTATTTATTATTTATTAAATCATGTGTATTAATTTAATGTGTATCAACATTCATACGCATGTCAATCAACGTGTTGACTAATAATAATACATCGAAGGAAATAGAGCAAATATTAATCATCATTGTACGTACTTAAATAATCGCAAATTCAAACACACGTGTTTTATCAAAAAAGCAGTAGGTAGTAGGAGAACTGATAACGCTCTTGTAAACCCATGTACACACGAATGTACTTGATATGCACTTATTATGACCCGACTCTCGTATTTTTTCTGAGATGCATCGGTGATAACACGGGCTTGACAGCAATTTTCTTCGTTGTTCGTTGCATCGATGCTTGAACGCCAAGATAACTGCAAGCCTCCGCATTGCGACTGCTTTGTTGGCTCAATCGACTTCGTCGACGCACTGCTGATCACGTGTAGCATGCGGGGGGTCGCGAACTTCCAAGGCGACATTTATCGCGACGACTGTTCACGCATCACCTTATCGCGACTATTGCGCGTTTATCGCGACAAGTGACAGACAATGCTTTTCGGCAAATTTCAGAGAAATCCATCGGAAAGTAGTGCGAAACGTATTTTGCGTTCTAAAATTGAAACATATTCGAAGCTTAAATTTATATACACAATGCAATAAATAATAAAAAGTATATATAAATGTAATAAAAATATAAAATAGGATAAGATTTAAAATTGCGAAAAAATAAATTAATATTTATTATTTTATTTTAGCGTTGTATTTGCACATAAATCAATATTTATTGTTTTATTTTTACACATTTTTACGCGCAGTGCAGTGTAGCAAAAAATTGCAATTTTTATTTTGGAGACTATTTTACGAAAAAACTACAAGACAGGGATTTCTCTGTAGTCACTTAAGTCATTTTTTTCACATTTTTACACAAAAAGTCACGTTTTAGTCACTTTTATTATTACGCTGCTGAATAAATTTTAAATTTTAATTTTGTTTTTGTTCACAATTTTGTATTTTTTATTCATAATAGTTATAAAAATACGATATGTTTCATAGCATTTTATAGACTTTTTTCAGATGATCAAAATTCCTATTTTTATTTAATTATAATATATATTTTTCTAACAATAGTTATTTTTTAATATTCCTGTTATATTGAACAGTCACTTTATTGAAAATTTTAGGTCTTTTTTTCATTTTTTTAAACAAAAAGAATGGAATCTCTGACAAGAAATATATTACACTCGATATATTTTAATTATTCAGTATTTTGGGTGCCTGAAAAAAATATGCAGAAGATTTGTCATAGTCGTTCTATCGAGTTTATGTACTGCAATGGATTATCTATTTTTCACAGAGATGAGAGAGAATGTAAATATACGCAGATATAATAAAATCAGATTTAAACGTGATTTTAAATCAAACAAACCGAAGCGGAAAAAACAAGCGTCAAATATATCGATTAAATAAACAAGCGATGAGTTCGGTCGAAGGATTTCGAGATGGAAAATAATTGCTTATTTGTGCCGTTTTCAAATTGTAACACGTTCTTTTTTTGCATTTCCAGCCCGAAGAGCCCGCCGAACAGCCCGAACACGGAACTCTCGACCGAAGATGAGCTCAAAGGAGTCTATATAAATTATAGCTGCAACAAGGTCAGTTTCATAATCGATTCTTCACCACTTTTTTGCGCAGTTGAACGCGACTATAGGAAGCCATA